AAGCGGCCAAAGATGATACATACATGAATGAGCATGGTGTGTTCAGTAAAATGTTTTTATTTTTATTGGCACTGAAAGTTGAATTTCTTACAATTTTTATGTGTCATGAAATATATTCTCTTTATGATTATATTTTAATGATTTGAAAATGTGAAAACTATTCCTTGCCCATGAGCCATACAGAAATAGGCAGTGAACCATGTTTGGCCCAGGCTATAGTTTATTGACCCTGAACTAGATAATGAACTACCCAAAGGCTGGGCTGTGTTGCATGCCCTTGTGGGAGCTACCCCTTAAGGGTGGGTCTGTTTCTTCACCATACTATTCTTAATGATGAACACAGTGCCTGGCATACAGCAGACATTCAACAATGTTATTAAATGGAAGAATAAATATTCATTTACTTATCTAGTTTTCAGACAATAAGCAGGTATTTCAGGAACTGGTCATGAAGAATTTCTATGGGGAGAAGGAAAGATCAGGGGTACTGGCAGTGTCTTGTGAGATTAGCCTAGGATTATCTTAGTAGGGGTATTTTCACTGAATAGAGAATTGGATGAGTGAGATGTGGGTGGCTGAGATGAAGTGGGTTGGGAGGTTGAAGAGATGAGGGTTAAAAAGTTGTAGACAATACGTGAAAATGAAGACTGGTACAATATCAATAGAGGGAGGAAGACCCAAAAGAGTTTAAAACTTTAAAGGCAAATGTCATTTTTTGTACACTTAGCTCCAATCAAACTCTACCTTCAATCATGCATTATTTCAAAGAACAATTCTCATAATCTGGCTCCATAGGCTTTTCAAATATCCGAGGGAGCCACTAAGAGAGTTGATCTTTGCTTTTCCGACTTCCCTGTTTCCCCTATACTCCTTTACTTGTTTTGAAGAGTCCTGAGTAGAACTGGGGGAGTTCAACACTATTGCTGTCTGTAGTAATGTATATCCACATAAAGCACAAGGAATTGAATATAGTCATACAAGACCTGCTCTGGCCCTAAGAAAGTCCTGAGATTTCTTCTCTGGGTCACTCAGGGCTAGAATCAGCCTGCAGATATGGTGCTGACCTTCTTTGATCCTAACACCAAGGACCAGGGAGAGGAAGGGCATGTCTTCCATCTACGTGGCTCCTATGTCATTCAAGAGCCATCCTCTATGACTCAGACCTTCAGCCCCTAGTCCAGAGAATTGGACCCACAGATGTGAACCATTGTTCCTACAGTGGGTTATGATTGGACATCTTCTTTTAGGTTTCTTTCAATAGTTACCATGTGAACACATTCTTTACAAATGTCCTTGGAGCATACACCAAAATAGATAATATCCTTGGCCATAAAACAAACCTCAGCAAATTTAAAAGAATTGCAATTATAAAGAAAAAGTTATCTGACCAAAAGGGAGTCAAAGTAGAAAACAGAAAAATAGCAGAAAGATGTTACAACAGTTGGAAACTAAATAACACATTTCTAAATAACCCATGGGTCAAAAAAACATGTAAAAGGGAATTAAAGAGTACATTGAGCTGAATGAAAATGTAAATACAACATGTAAAACATGTGGGACACAGTTAATCCAATGCTGACAGGGAAATTTGTGGCACTAAATGCTTACATTAGGAAAGAGGAAAAGTTCCAAGTCAATAATTAAAGTTTTTACCTCAAGAAACTAGAAAAAGAGTAGCAAAATAAACTGAAAGCAAGTAGAATAATATAATAAAGAGAAAAGCAGATAATCAATGAAACTCAAGAGAAAAAAATAGAGAAAATCGGTGAAGCTAAGAATCGATTCTTTGTGAAGAGCAATAAAATAGCCAAACCTCTAACTAGATGACAAGATAGAGAGAGAAGGCAAAAATTATAAAATGAGGAATGAGACAGGGGATAACCTTTGGACATACAAAAGACATTGAGAGAATACTATTAGCAACTCTACACACATAAACTTGAAAGAAATTTATCAATTCTTAAAAAATAAATCTCACCCAATATGGAATAGAAAATTTGAATATCACTATACTATTAACAAAATTAAATCCAACATTTAGGAACTTCTATAATGTCCACATGGCTTCATTAGAGAATTCTACCAAACTTTTAAAGAAGAATTAATACCAATGCTATATTATCTTTTCCATAAAATAGAAAAAGGGAGAATGCTTTATTACCTGAATGCTAAACTACAAAAAGAAAAGAAATTACAGACCAATAGCCCTCATGAAGATAGACATGCAATTCTTTAAAATTATAACAGAATTTAGCAATGTGCATAAAGAATTACATACCATGATTAAGTGGGGTTTATTTCAAATATTCACGGCTGATTCAATATTCAAAAGTCAATCAATGCAATCCACCATTTTAACAGGCTGAAGAAAAATATCACATGATCGTATTAATTGATGCAGAAAAATTATTTGACAAAATTTAGCAACATTGATAGAATCTCTCAACAAGTTGAGAATATAGAGTAACTTTCTCAAGCTGATAAAGAATATCTGCAACTAACATCATACTTAATGGTGAAAGAAGACTGAATACGTCCTCATAAGATTGAGAACAAGACAAGGATGTCCGCTCTCCATTGCCATTTAACATAGTAAACTGTGTTCTCCAACCATTGCAGTAAGGCAAAAATAAAAATAAAAATAAAAAACAACCAAACAAAACAACTATAACAGAAAACGAAGAGCATGCAGATCAGAAAGGAAGAAATAAAACTGCCTCTTTTCTCAGATAATATGATTGTTTATGTAGAAATTCCAAGAAATCCATCAAAAAAAGCTTCCGTATTAGTCCATTTTCACTCTGCTGATAAAGACATATCCAAGACTGGGCAATTTACAAAAGAAAGAGATTTGTTGGACTTACAGTCCCACATGGCTGGGGAGGCCTCACAATCGGCAGAAGGCAAAAAGAAGCAAGTCACATCTTACGTGGAAGGCAGCAGGCAAAGAGAGAGCTTGTGCAGAAAAACTGCTGTTTTTAAAACCATCAGATCTCATGAGACCCATACACTATCATAAGAACGTCATAGAAAGACCCACCCCCATAATTCAGTCATCTCCCACTGGGTCCCTCCCGCAACAATGGGAATTATGGGAAGAGCTACAATATGAGACTTGGGTGGGAACACAGAGCTAAACCATATCAACCTCCTAAAATTAAGTGAATTCATCAACATTGTAGGAATCAAGATCAACATATAAAATAAAGTGGATTTCTGTATACTAGTAATGAACACATGGAACCAAAAATTAGAAATCCAGTACAGTACCATTTATTAATGCCCCCCAAAAATGAAATTCTTGGGTGCAAATCTAAAAATATGCACAGGACTTATATGCTGAAAACTGTAAAATGCTATTGAAATAAGTCAAAGATCTAAATATATGGAAAGACACTGCTCATGGATTGAAAAACTCAACCTAGTAAATATATCAGTTCCTATCAAAACCCCAGCAAGGTTTTTTTGTAGACATAAACAAGTTGATTGTGAAATTTATATGAATAGGCACAGGTCCTAGAATAGCTACAATAATTTTGGAAAATAAGAAGAAAGTAGGAGAAATCACTCTACTTGATTTCAAAACTTATTACATAGCTACAGTGGTCAAGAATGTGGAGGACAGATAGACACAGAGATCAATTCAACCGAAAAGAGAGCCCAAAACATAAAATGCAAAATTATAACACTTTTAGAAAAATATCTAAGAGAAAGATTTTGGAAAATAGGCTTTGGTGAAGTTGTTAGATTGAACACTTAAAGTTAACTATAAAAAAAATTGATAAATATGACTTCATTAAAACTAAAAACTGTTCTGTGAAAATCGCTACAAACTGGAAGAAAATATTTGCAAACTACTAACTGACAAAGGACTTGTATGGAAAATGTAAAAAGAACATTCAACAGCAAATAAAATAAACAATACAATTAAAAATGGAAAAAACATGTGGAAAGACATTTCTGGTGAGAAGGATGGCAAATAAGCACATGAGATGTTCGATATCACTTGCCATTAGGGAAATGTAAATTAAGGCCCTAAAGAGATATCACTACACTCCTATTAAAACAGCTTAAAAAAATAGTGACAAAACCAAATGCTGGCAAGGATGTGGAGAAACAAAACTTCTCATGCATTGATGGTAGAAATGTAAAATTGTACAGCCACTCTGAAAAGTAGTCAATCTCTTTAAAAATCAAATATACATATTACAGACTCAATAATAAAAATCTTTTGGCATTTACCATAGAAAGGAAAACTATGTTCACACAAAAACCTGTACATGATTCTTTATAGCAGCTTTATTTGTAATAGCTCAAAATGGTAATCAAAATGTCCTACCAGAGGTGGATGGTTAAATAAACCGTGATACAGCCTCAGCAATAAAAAGAAACATCCATTAAAACATGCAACAACTTGCATGGATTTAAAGAGCCTTAGGCTAAGTGAAGAAAATTCAATATCAAAAGGAAGTATATTGTATGGTTTCCCTTATATAATGTTCTGACGAAAGTTGAGAGAGAACAGATTAGTGGTTGACAGGGCTTAGAGATGGTGAAGAAAGGGGCTGGGTGTGAGTGTAAAAAGCACCAGGGAGATTTTTTGTGGTGATAGAACAGTCTGTATACCGATTGGGGTGGTGGTTACAGGATTCTACATTTGAGATAAAAATATGCAGACACTGTATCTGTGTCCAATTCCCGGGTTTTGTATTGTTCGGTAGTTAAATAAGGTGTAATGAATGAAGGAAACTGGGTGAAGGGTGGGTATATAGGATATTTATGTATTATCTTTGCAATTTCCCATGTTCTATATATTAACTATTCGAATTATTTTTCAATACAGAAACTGATTTCAAATAACCCTTATTTGCCTTGGGTAGCTGTGGCTCCCATTATTTCGCAAGAGGAGAAACTTGAAAATGTTGAATCCCGCAATACCCATATAAAGGCATGCCCTGACTGAGGCCATGCGCTGAGAAAGGCGCTGGGCGGCAGCAAGGTGGGGAGCCAGAGAAGTCTTCCCTCGCCCTGAGGATGCGGCGAAGGTTGGCGCCACTGAGGGTCTGTGTGAGGGGGGCGTCGCCGAGTTCAGCCCCACCCTCTGCCGCTTCCCCAGCGGGTCGGGCGTTCGCCTCTCGTGGCCAGAAGGCGGGGAGCCAGAGGCGCTGGGGACCCCCGCGTGGCGCTCCAGCAGCCCGGACCATCGCGGCACCGCGCCTTAGGGAAGAGCAGGGAAGGAACTTTCTCTGAACCGCGAACATTTTTGGTCACTGAGATTGAGCCTTCCGGTGCTCTGACTTCCCGCCTCTTTATCTTGCGTTTGATCGGTGAGCTGCTTTCCTTTCCCGAACCGCCCGGAGTGCCGCCGAAAGCCCTCCCGCGCGCCACAGTCCCCGGCAGAGGAAGGGAGGCGCGTACCTGCCGGTCCCCCAGAAGCCGTCGCCGCGCCGCGGACGCGGAGGGCCGGGCAGCAGTGCGCGGTGGCCCCGCGTCCCAGGAGCGCACAGCAATGCAGGCGCTCAACATCACCCCGGAGCTGTTCTCCCGGCTGCTGCGGGACCACAACCTGACGCGGGAGCAGTTCATCGCTCTTTACCGGCTGAGACCGCTCGTCTACACCCCCGAGCTGCCCGGGCGCGCCAAGCTGGCCTTCGTGCTCACCGGCGTGCTCATCTTCGCCCTGGCGCTCTTTGGCAATGCTCTGGTGTTCTATGTGGTGACCCGCAACAAGGCCATGCGCACCGTCACCAACATCTTTATCTGCTCCTTGGCGCTCAGTGACCTGCTCATCACCTTCTTCTGCATCCCTGTCACCATGCTCCAGAACATTTCTGACAACTGGCTGGGGGGTAAGAGTCGCGCCCGCTCCTTCTTCCGTAACCCTCTGCCTTCAGGGGACTTCCTTACACTTTTCTGTCAAATGAATCTGGTGCTCTTTCTTAGAACTTCGCCACCTGTGTTCACTTGGACGTAATTTTTTTGCCGCCTCTGATTCCCGTCCAGCGCTTCCTCCTTGTGGCTTAGAGACAGAGGTTGCTGAAAGTCTTGGGAAAGGTCCCGAGCAGTGAGGTGAGAAGTCGCACCTCTCTCCTCTTATTTCAGCTCCTTTTTCCGTAATTACCAGGTTTTTCTCCCCTAGTTTTCTAACTAAAAGTAAGATTAAAATATTTCAAATAATTAAACAAACCAAAGTTAAAAATCTCATTTCATCGTTTCCTAAACCTCCTTCCCAGTTGTTCCAGACAGGTTCTTGTACCTATGAACATATGCATGGACTTTATAGCTTTCTAAAACAAATATAATTCATGTGCAGAAAAAAATATTGAACTAGCCCTTTAAAATTTGTATTAAGTGTCATGCAGGAAAAAGGAACACAGAAGACTGATGACCTCTTGACTATTAAAAAAGGAGAGTTGACATTCTCCTCCTTCTATATAATGGGAACAAAAATGATAGAGGAGAGGTGGAGTCACTGAGTTGGGAGCAGTGTGTGGCGGTTGGAAAACAGACACCATACTACTTCTGATGGTCCAGCCTTTCCAAGGCGACACAGCTGGGGAATGCCCTGGAGTAAACCCATGAGCAGCAGTGTGTTGCAGTCTCACTAGTGCCCATGGTGCACCGCGGGCCTCCTCATTTTCACGGTTGTGTGTATTCTTGTGGCCCCATCAAAATAGTTGAAAATAAAAGAGAAATTGATCATTATGCCTTCAATGTCTGCTATTTCTATCCCTTAAAATGGTTGGAAATGTAAGGGAAAGTGATCATTGTGCCTTCAATCTCTACTATTTCTATCTCTATTACTAATTCCCTTAAAGTCATGGAGAGTGTTTCGTCCTATTCATCCTACCGTTACCAATTTGAGATAGTGAGCATTGCTTTCTTTCCCATTAACTTAAACCGAGTTTGCTGTTAGTGAGTCAGAATGCTAAAGTTCTATATTCTTATCCCATCTATAATGTAAATATTTTGAAAAAAGCATTAAACATTGAGTACAGAGTGTTGACTTGAAAGTAATACACAATGTGGAAAGTAAGGCATTGATTTGTGGATTAAAAACTTTCTTATGCACACTGATGCAGTCATCGTATTTGGGCATTTTAAAGTTGCTCAGTGAAACTAACTCCATAAAATTAATGGATATTTTTTTATTATCATACAGAACTTGGTTTTGGGGGGAAAAGCGCATGAGTTTTCATTTCTAAATGTTTGTGAAACCAGATTTATGAAGCTGATTTGTACTGGGGATGATTATAGCTCTGTTCGTAAAGGTGAAAATAATTATGCAAAGTGGGATTTTATACTGGAAATCAGAAGACCTGGCTGTAATACATGTTAATTTAGCATGTGTTCGTCTCAATTTTTCATTAGAACATTAGGGATTAGAGATGTTTTAAAGTGCACTGAGTCAGAACTTTAGCTCCTATTCATATTGGGGAATGATGGCCAAGAATGTCCGTATAGTGTATCTTCTGTCTTGAGGGCTTATTTGGGCACTGCTAAGGTTTTTCTCAAGTTTTCTGTTTTCCCCTCTTTTTACTTCATGGAGAACATTTCACTTTAGCTTCTGAATACTGAAGAAGTGTAAAATTGCTCACTTATTTTATAGGGTTAGTGTGAGAATAAAGTATATTAGCAAAGTGCTTTGAAAAAAAATTCATCATGCCATAAGAGCATAAGGTATTAATTATATTAAGGGGTGTTCAACTGGAGGTGGCCTATGTTTATCTGGGACCAGATTTATAGCATAAATAACAATCTTATAAACTGAGTAAATAATACCAAAATTGAAGTGCGAGGGAGAGGAGAGAGCCTGCAGAGGGGCTAGAGATAAATATGAAAAGAGAATTAACTTGTGGATTATAGGACAGGATAGTCATTGTAAAGTTTCCTTGATAACTTAAAAGAAAGTTCAAGAGAATGTAATCTAAGAGCCAAAAATCAATCCATAATTTATTATTTTACAAAGCTACTGAGGAGCTCCTATCTGGCAAAGTGTTCTACCTGGAGAGTACAAAAGTGAGTAAAGCCTATCTATGCCCTTCAGGACCTCAGAGAATAGGAGGTAGCCCCCAAATGAGCAAAAACAGGATTTAATAGAGAGAAAGAGGATCCACTCTGCTATAGGAGCACAGAAAATTCAGAAGGCTTCTTCAAGGATGTAATGTTCAAGCTGGGTCTTGAAGAATAATTCAGATAATAATTTAGACTGTTTCCAGCAGAGGATGGAATGTATTCTAGGAACAGGTGTCAGTGCCAAGTTGGGGGAAAGAAAGAAGATGGCGTAGTTCAAGAATACCATGCAAGGCATTGCAAGAATGCACAGTTTATATGTGGGGAATGGCAGGAAATGAGGCAGAAAAGTGGATCTACTTTGCCTCACCTATTATTCACTCACTGAACATGTTCTGTTTCTTCCAGCTAAATGCAAAACAATTGATTTTGCTTGTGACCAGTGCTCTGGAAGTGCAACTGGGGAGGGAAAAATATATATACATATATATTAACTATGTTTTATATATATATATATATGTATATATATATATATATATATATGATATATAGTTATGTAAAAACCTAAAATATGAATACCCCTCAAATTCCTCCAGGAGTAAGGTAGGAAACACAAACAAAGCAGTGAAGATCACCAGGAAGCAACAGTGGCAAAAGGAAGGCTCTGCCTCCTCTGAAGGAGGCATGATTGCAGCATGAGGGAGTGGTGCCAGGATTATCACATCTTCTTTTGTTGTTGTTATTGCTTTCCCACCTCCCCTTCCGAAAAGCTGGGCATACAGATTTTTATGATGCTGGCTTCTAAGTCAAAGACAAAAAGTAAAATGCAACTGGGTAAAAGAAAACATCTCTGTGGACGTGGTCACAAATAATTCAGGGATTTCCAGTTTGTGACATCTCTACATTGCCTCTCAAATATTTCTGACAATGGTAAGGCTGTGAATGACTTCTCTTTCTTGCTGGGGACCAGCAGCACCTATTGAGTCAAAACATGCATTTTAACAATGTTCTCAGTTGTTTCACATGCACATTAAATTTTGATAAGCACTATAGAAGTCAGCTCACTCAGGTCTTTAAAAGAAAAAAAAAAATTGTTAAGCACTACTTAAAGTAAGTAGTGGTTAGACCTGGCTACACAGAAAATCTCCTGAAGGGCTTTTGAAAATGACCTGCGCCAGCCCCAGCCCAGACCAGTTACACTTGACTCTAGTGCCAGCTGCACTGCCTTACAGAGCCAGGTGTGCATAACTCTACTCAGGTCCCCTTTCAGGGACATATTGTTGTTTAAAATTGGTCGTGGTGGGAGTATTCACATCATGGAAATCAGCAGTTTCTAGTTAGGTCTGTTTTAAAAAGTGAGAAACAAAACAGAAATCAAACAGTTGTTTTCCAGCACACCTCTGAGCAAAGACATTGAGTTTTCTTTTATGCACTGATGGGACCATGAATAATAGGTGAGGCAAAGTAGATCCACAAACATGCTTTTACATGAATTACACTAAAGTTGGAAAGAGATACAGCTGATCTTCTGCATCTACGTGTGCCCAGCATGGAGGCAAGCTGACATTCAATTCCTTTCATCCACCTTGCGTTACCATCATCCCCTTATTGGAGTACGTTTGATCTAACAATTGACTTGACTCTTACTCCCCAGGAGCTAGCAGGAGTGAGGATTCTCTGCCCCCAAGTATTATAAAGAGCATATGCTTATGAGTTTTTTATTACTCATATGAGGGTGGAGTTGTGCTTCCATGGCACTTTCCTTTAGGAGGGTTTTGTCTCTGTGCTCTTCTCTGATTTATTTGGTTGGACTGCAGCCATGGATTTGCCCATTGCCTTCTTAGGGCCACAGATTTACCTATTCATATCTGTAGCCTGTTCCTCCCCATTTTGTTTTTGTTTTTTTCCTCCTTTTTATCATTGTCTTCACAATGTCTTAATGTTCCTCCAAATTCACTCACCAAACATGTTCTGTTTCTTCCAGCTAAATGCAAAACAATTGATTTTGCTTGTGACCAATGCTCCAGAACACCACTCTCTTCTCTAAGTTTCCATGAACTAGTCTTTGTTTGTCTTTCTTTGTTTCCTTTATGTCTCTGTTCTCTTTATGTTCTGCCTTTTGAGAGTTCTCACACTTTCTCTTATTTTGCAAGTGATTGTCCACTGAAGCTTAGTATGTAATCTCTTTTCTTTCATCATCCATTTATGCATAGAGGCTATAGTCACCACTCTTACTTCTTTTGTGATGACTCTGAAATCAGATCTAATCAATATCATAAGCCATGGTCTTTTACCTGATCTGAAGACTTGGCACTTACACATGAATACCTTACCAGCCTTCATCATTCTCTCATGGTACCTTGTTCCTCTGCCCAAAGTCTAAACTATTATTAATGGCATTATAAGTTATTCTTATATTCAGCATTTCCTGGGTATTGCTTATGTGCACTGGGATATTGTAGGTATTGAGAAAGCTGTGTTCTTGTGGAAAAGCCGTTTCCATTAGACAAAGAAGGGGAAGGAGGCATTCAAAGAAGTGATAGAGAATGCAGGGGATTTTGGTGATGTCAAGGTTCCAGGGCACACAGTGCAAGTATTGAGGAGTAGGGGGCTTAAGTCAGATTAAGGGATGTTCACAGTCTGATGTGTTTGAGTCCAAAGTTGAGGGATGGGCTGGGAGAGAATGGGACTCATGGTAGCTGAGGCAAATGAAAACTTAAGGCATAGGAATATTAACTCTGAACACTTCCCAGAAGGAGGTAGAAAATCAGTTCTAATGCTAGCCTGCTTTATGATTCTAAGCATTAATAAGATGAGTTGGGGAGTGTTTGGGGGG